AGGTTTGGAAGCAGGCTCATTAGTCACAACCCTCCCTTCGTTTGGAATTGGTGCAGCTTGGGTGTTGTTTGCGGCCGGTTTTGGAGCCTCCCCACTCCCGAAAAGATAGCCCAAAGAACTCTGTCCCCCACCACTGCTAACTCCACGACCCATGTTCTCCAACTTCTTCTTAGATAACCCTACACTCTGTGTTACAAGTAGATAGTTAGAATAGATGTTTGGGAAAAAGAACCAACATTGCAAGATATTATACTATTGATTGCTACTGGATGCCTCAAACATATACCATCAGTCATATGCCTACAGGAAAATTTATCACAAGGACCTTATCACTATTTGCTAAAATGTCTTGAAATGCTTTGAAATCGAACAAGCTTATTGTTGATCCATTTTATAGAACAAAACATTTACAATAAATCCGGGAGAAAATAAAATAAAATCTCTTAGAATCCGCATGGTAGGCTTCTGCCTTCATCACAAAAAGGGCTCAAGCATGGGGCGTTTGGTAGGCCAAACCATTCCAACTCTCTTTATTTCTGAAAGTTTACTTCACTATTTAATACCCAAATGATCATTTCAGCTAAATTAGACACAAAGACGCATAATTCAGCAAAATGTACGCTCAAATCCACAAACTTTTCCGTACACAAAAGGGGAAAATAAACAGATCCACCATAAACTGCACAGCCAACAAATCCCAAACCGAAGCAAGAGAAATGTCTCAATCACACACTAGAACAAAGCAACGTATATAGATCTACCAAAAGAAATGAACCTCAACGTGCTAATCAGTGCCGGGCCATAATTTCACCCAAAAAATCAACTGAAGAACTATCAAATATTCATTATAAAAATACACAGAGAGAGAAGAACAAGAGAAAGCATCAAATCAAAAACAGTGAAATCGATTAAAGGTAAGGAATTGAAAGCACAACCCAGTGATTGAAACACTGAAACGTAAATCCAGGATAAGAGGCAGAGATCTAGGGTTAGAGATAGGGCTGGGTAGGGTACCTGGTTGTTGGGATCAGATCTGGAGGGAAAGCTGTGAAGCAGAGAGAGTGAAAAACACTGTAACCTCGGTACTGAGACAGCAAAAGCTACGCCAAATCTATGCGTTATATAAATGAGTACATACACTCACTGTTTTTCTATTTTTATTTTATTTTTATTTTTCAAATTGAGAGTTCATTTATCTATATATATAAAGCAAAAGGCAGAGAATGGTGAAACATTCAAAATACCAGAAAATGCCCTTTGTTAATGCAAACATTAAGAATTGAAATTATTAATTAAATGAGGATAATATGGTAAATTCACAC